CAGCTGAGGAGTAACTGAAGAAAATTTGAGTGAAGCCTACAAGAATCTAAACTTTTGTCTCCTAAAAATAAAAAGAAAATCTCTTTGAGCATCAGGAGTCTGATGGAGACTGATGCTTCACAGAATCACAGAATGGCAAGGGTTGGAAGGGACCTCGGAAGATCATCTAGTCCAAACCCCCTGCTCAAGCAGGCTCACCCAGAGCATGTTACACAGGGCATCGTCCAGACTCCACAAGCCCCCTGAGCAGCCTGTGCCAGGGCTCTGTCACCCTCAAAGTCAAGAAGTTTTTCCTCATATTCAACTGGAACCTCTTATGCTGGATCTGTTGGGTTGGAAATCCCCCCATGCTGTAGCTTTTCTCCTCTCTATCCTCTTAATTCCCACCATTCAGAAGCAGAACCAAGAACTTGAAGGCATTTCCCTCTGTAAAACACATGCTGTCTGTTGGAGCATGAGTGTAGGGTATAGCTTCTTCCCACCTGCATGCAGTGAGGTTGCAAGGCCCCATTGTCCATACCATGTGTTGGTGGAAGCGTGTAATGTTGTAGTGGTCTCTGTGGCGGGGACTGTTACTTGTTTGCAAGTAGAAGCTGAGACTGAGGTTTGGGCGCTGATGAGGAAGACGATGTTTGAGGGATTGCCACCTTAAGAGAAGCTCTGGGTGTGTGTACCATGCTATTGAGAGGAAGACAAGGATCAAAATAGCAATTGGGACATACTTGTGATCAGAATAGCTGTATTGGTTACTTGAGTTTCAAAACGTGGTTTTGCTTTGTTTCATGGTCTTCAACAGCAAGACACCACTGTTTATGGAATGACATGGAGAGCAAAAAGGAGAGGTGAGCACAAAGCAAGAGAGTTGGTTGGGAATGACCTTGAAGGAAAAGAACTAGCACGTGCATAAGGGGCAGTGGTCTGTGGATGATGATAAGAGGAGAAAGCCTTGCAAAGTTCCAAGATAGAGAGAATTTTAGCAAAACTAGTTTGGATTTCTAGGTGGAGTGCAGGCTGTTTAGCTCTGTCCTGGAAAGCCCTGGATGGTCTATGTTTTCTCAGGCTGGGAGAAAAACTTTTCCTCCTGTCACCTTCTTTGACCCCCATAATGTCACAGTACCATGCCAGAGGAGATAGGTGGAAAAATTACACCAAAGAAGGGTTGAGCTGGAAGAAGCGAATAACTCTAACAGAGCAATCTTCATGAAGAGACTTAACACTTGCTGAGATGGCAAGATATTGTGGAAGCCAAGAAATCCTTGCTGAGGTTTGGAGAATACCTTGTGCAATTTTTTTGTAAGGACTTAAGGGGATATGGGATTTTTTTTTTTTTTTGGCATGTGTATACATTAGCCAAAGTAGGAAACCCTGGGCTTTGTAGATCAGAGAATGGCAGAGAATTTTGAAACAAATGTGTAGCTTTGGATTTTGCGGCCTAAGCAAGGCAGCAATAGACATAAATGCCTGAATGCTGGGGTGAACAATGCATCTTGGAGCAAAAACACTTAGTTCTGACTTCGAGGGGTAGAAAGAAAATAGAGAACTAATTATCTAGTAGTAAAGAGGAGAAAACCTTCTCTGATCCCAAATGGTTTGGGGGTCCACCAATGCTTCTGAAAGAGGTTGTTGAGTGCTCTTCAGATGGTTTCCTCCAAAGGACATTGAGTTAGTGTGAGCATGATGGTGGTGCTTGTGTCTGTGAACGCTTAAAATAATCAGATAACATAGTGCAGAATAGGTAGTTGATTCTTCAGTGGCCAACTCTTGCTCAAAATATCAAGTCTTCAACACTCACCATGGAATTCAGAGTTTCCTTGGACTTTTGGCTTCTTATACTTCAAATAATAATTAGCCTTTGTGGGATGGGGCGACTATGGTAAATCAGTTTAGGAAAGCTTCTTCACAGTGTGTGATTGTGATGGTGGGGGGGAAAGAGGGCAAGTGAAGGTTGTTGGATGCAAAAAATAATAATATAGGCCCGGTGTCCAGCATAACTCAATCTGACTCCTTGAGTTGTAGAGCCATTAATTTAGGTAATGCAGTGAAGAAGGTTAGTGTTCAAGCTGTTGACTTTTCAGAAACTTGTCTTAATTATTAAAAGAAAGGAAAAGTGGTGGAAAGAGAAGAAAAATGGTTGGAAGAGTAGCAATGCTGCAGGAAAGACATTCATGATAAAAGTGAAAACAGAATCAATTTGGTCGCTATACAGATATACCAAAGATAAATCTCCCGAGAGAGGGGGAAGGACTTAGGAATGCAGTATTTCAGCAGGCCTATCGTTCCAGACAGGGTATAGCAGAGGTGTTTCTTTGCAGGAAAGCAGCTCACCTTGGCTCGCATCTCTGGCAGCACTTGCAAAGGAAACTCTTGAGCATGTCAAAACCAAGAGTGTGCTCACAGGTCTATGCAGGTGCCTTGCTTCTGTCTCGTCCCCCTCAAATTCTCATCAGGAAAATCCCCAGTTAAACAAGGGAAAATACAGGGATGCTGTTGAGTGAGCGAGCTGATGAGGCAATAAAAACTCTTGACTTCCAAGATGAGCTGAAAGCAGGAGCCATCTTGAATTGCCTCTCTGGAAGGGCAATAATTCCATGGTGCTACAGCTAAAGCTTGGCTACAAAGCTATCGGTGTGAGTTGTGCTGTGGCAGGGGCTGTGTTTGGGGTCTCTCCCAAGCCTGGGTGATTGGAGTCTGAACTCCAGGAGAGCAAAGCAATTAGCAATGTTTGACATGAAGTTCACAACCAAGGCAGCCGAATGCTACCAGTAGCGTATGTGTAAACTGGATAGGTCTTGCTATTTACAGCTGGTGATAATAAACCTTCTGGTTTCCTGGCTTCAAACTAGTGACAGATTGAACTGGAAGGAGATTTGGAAGGAGAATAGTGCAAATGATGTTGCAAAGGTTCCTCTCAGTTAGGTGGGTATGGCACTGAGCAACCAGGTCCTTCCTGAGGTCTGGACAGTGCAAGTGTGCCACTCGGAGCAGAAGCCAGGCAAGGCACACAGAAGATCAGGTCAAAGTCTGAAGCAGGAAT